AAAGAATTTAATTTAATGTCATAATAACTGTTTAGCACACATATATATTACATAGAAATCTAAGAGAACAAATCACAGAATAGAATTAATGATATTTATATGCAAAGAAACATAAAATATAAAGTCGAAATATTTAAATAGAGTATTGAAATTTAAAATTTTCTCTATTTAAAATTTTCTTTCTTTTAACATAGCTATCTTCAATAGCAGCTATATCTGCATTCTTTTTTATGTCCAAGCATGTTGTGTAACATCTTTCAAAGGTAATCGATCAGTTGGATGTCCACGAAGTAACTAAAATAAAATAAAAAACTTTCTCCAAAAAAAACAAAAACAATTTTTTATTTAATTTATTTTCGTAATTACATCACGAAGATCAGATGACGTTCCAATAGGAAATGTTGTCAATTCAATTGATCGTATCATTCGAATATGTTTCATGTTGAGTTTGACTATCAAATGATGATTTACCAATAATCTTTAAAAAACAAATAGTTTAATTGACAAATACAATATAATTACCATTTCATATGTAAGAACACCAAGAGACAAAAGATCAATTTTTTCATCATAACCATTTCCATTTAAACATTTATGATGGTTAATAATCTAATGTACCACAAAGAGTTGTTTGTCTTTAAAAGAAAAAAACATTCTATTTAAATAAATCAATTTATTATATAAATCTTACTTTCATGTCGATGTACTTTCAGATAACCAACCAAAATTCGCTATAATAAAAACAAATAAGACGAGAATAATTCTTTACAAAATTCACCTAATTTCAAAATGCCATATTTTCCAATAAGAATATTTTCTGGTTTAATATCTACAACAGATTAATTTATAATTTTCATATTCATCAAATTCTCCAAACATATCCCTAAATAGAAAAATAAAATAAAAATTGATATATTCATTTCATTATTCATACTGATGAATAACTCGTTTTGTATGTAAATAATTTAAAGTATAAGAAAGTTGATAGACATACTAAAACATTTAAAAATAAAAATATAAAAATAATATTTAAATTCTTACTTCAGCAGCTTCACTCTCACATAAAGTTTTTTCTGTTTGCATACGTCGATATAATTCTTCATCGGGTGCATATTCAAGTAATAAATAAATTCTTTGTTCATCATGAAAATTCGTTAATAATAAACTTAAGAAAACTAAAAAACTTGAACAGATTTAAGACTTGATTGAATTTCTATTTCACGTTTTACTCGTTGTAATATTTTAGAATTTTTAAATTGAGCTTTAATTGCCAACAGTATTATGAATTATGTAATAATAAATGAAATAAGATCAATTCTTTGTTTCGAGCCTGATGAATAAGTCAACCAATGAAATCAATGTGCGCTAGTTTTCATTGAATTTTTAATTAGCTTATCATTTAAAAATAAATTTTCTTCAAAATTAATTATAAAATTAGATGATAACAATAATAATATTTTTTTAAAATTTTTATCGAACAATCAAATGAGAATCGAATGTTAAGGATGATCCGATATCAATGACAGAAATGTGTTGCGTGCTATAAATCTTGGATGTGGGTGATGATGACGATAGTTCACAAAAGTTTTGTACGATCACTTGTCGACGATTTACTCAAATCGATAAAACCTGCATTTGCTTCTTCATCAGTTGGAAACATAGTAAATGGATTTGTATAAACAATTGCTGATGGAATCATTATAATACCATCTCGAATATGGAAAATAATATCGATATTCAATTGTCAAAAAGAAAAAAACTTTATGACTTATGATCTTTGATTTTTAGATATACATATCGAATATCGATATACTGAACAAGACCTTTTCATTTAAGATAATACTCAATATAATTTGGAATCAAAATAATGTTACCTTAATCTATAATCTGTTTAGAATTCAGAGCATAGTTAATCACTTCAATTTCATCTTTTTCATTCTTATATTGTTACTTTGTCAATCATTATACTGAATGCTCATTAGAGATGTACGAGACCAAATTTTATCTTTCAATGTTGTTTCAATAGCTTCCTTTTAGTTTCGATGATTTC